CCTTATCATATTATTTACACTAAACTCTCTGGATGATGAATATTTGATGATCGATCATTTTGTGATTTGGTGTGCTTTGGGGTTTTCGTTTGCTATGCGTGTTTCTGCCTTTTTTTTTGGGGCCATATTTGGTTTTATTGAGAAGACTGGGCTTGGTCTAAGTTGTGCCCGCGAAATAATTCTTGCACTTGCTTTTGTTTTTATTTGGTTAAATTTCTATTGTGCCTTGTATAAACATCCGATGATTTTATTTAGATTTATCTTCTTTTTTTTTTTAACTAGTATTTAAATCTGTTGGTTTGAATTGAGTCTATCAGGTCAAAAAGATTAAAACCATTTTTAATTTATTTTTAAAATGGAAATAATAATTAAAAAATAAAGGTGTAAAGGGTTACTGTGCTTGCAAGTATAAAAATAAAATGTGTTACCTTAAATAAAGGGTAATTTTAAATGGTTCGAATTATATTATACTAGAATAACTATAAAATGTAAATCAATGTGTTGATGTGGGTTTAGATTCATGGGATGTTCTCAACATATTCTAATGTATTATTTCTCGCATACAATTTAATATTGATTAAAAATTATAAAATTAGAAAATAAACTTATTAAATATAATAAATTACATTTTTATTCCTTAAAATTTTATAAAATTATATTAATAATTCCTATTTTTTTAAGAAGAATGGTGTATTTACTCCAAAAGTAAGTCTTAGTAAACTTATTTTACTTAAAAACTCATATTTCACATCAAATTCCAATAATTTAACTGTTAAATTAAAATTTTTTAGTGTATAAATTAAGTCTATAATTCTTTTAAAAATTTGAAAATTGTTTGATTTCCTATTTCATTAATTTGAATTGAAGGATAATTATAAAAATATTTTATATGTTAATTTAAATCTATATAATAAAATGTCATATAATTTTTAAATTTTAAAAAATTATAAATTTGATCTATGTATTAATTTTTTTTAATTTAATAGTTAAATCATTAAAATTTGATGTAAAACATGGATAATTGAGTGGAGTAAGTCTATCAAAACTTACTCTTTGGAGTAAGTGTATTCCTTCTCTCTCTTTTTATTTTTATTTTTATTTTTTATGTTTATGGTAACTGTAACACCCCAAATTTTTTACTAATGCAATATTTACTATTATTTATTTTTTTATGTTTATGAAGATTATTTTCTTATAGTTGTTAATAAAAAGGATTTTTATAAAAGATTGTAAAGGTTTATAATAATTTAAATTATTTATGAAAATTTTTATATAAAATTCTGTTTTAAGGCTGGAACGGGCCGTTCCAGACAATGGAAATAAACTGTTTTTGAGGAAGCAGAACGGACCGTTCCAAAAGTGGAATGGGCCATTCCAATGTAGAACAGAGGCCTATTTGGGGTTTTTCCGGAACGGGTCGTTCCCAAAGGGAAACGGGCCGTTCCAAGGTTCTAAATTTGCCTAAAAAGTTAAGTTGGAAACGGGCCGTTCTCCTTATAGTCAATCTGTGTAAAAGTGAATTTCAGAACGGGCCGTTCTAATTTTAGAATGGCCCGTTCTGCTTGAAAACGGGCTGTTCCGATTTTGGAACGGGCCGTTCCGATTTTGGAACAGGCCGTTCCAGTTGAAAAATTTGTATATATTCGAAGGATCTGGAACGGGCCGTTCCGAAATCAGTACGGGCCGTTCCAGGTGCGCCAGGATGCCTATAAATAGGGGCAAGGGGGGTGAAAATTTTATACTGAATAAGAAAGTGAAATCTTAGAGAGAGAAAGAAAGAGAGAGAGAGAGAGAGAGAGAGAGAGAGAGAGAGAGAGA